GTACAGGGATACACAGTTGACTGAGACCATCAGGCCCCTGTAGCTATCAAGTGTAAACAGGGCTACTTAGAAAATCAAGTGGCCCAGGGAAGAGAGCGGCAGGGCGGAGGAATTGCTCTAGGAGGGAGGGGTAAACTAAGACCTTGGCCTAATCTCTGCAGCCTTTTCTGTATGCTGACTCAGCAGGTTTGAATTCACTTCAGCTTCCCCGAGATCCTGAACAGAAGGATCACTCTATGAAGGTTATGGGAACTCGGTTCTCCACAACGCAGTAGGGCAGTGAGGGCAGCTGTTAACTCCCTCTCATCCAGCATTGGCCTTTTTATTTTTAGTTGGTACAAGGGTGAGGGAAAGGCTCTGATACTACCCAAGCCCTTCTGACTGTGTCCACACAAAGTATATGTGCCAGAAATCTTCTCTGAGTTTTGGCTGGTCTTGTATTGTGCCTGACTATGTGTCAATTCCCCATTTTTCATGAGAGCAGGAAAAGAGTTTCAAAGTTTTTTTCTAGTCTATCTTTATGCAACATATTTATAATCCAGAAACAAAAATATGCTGCTGTTCAGAAAATATTTACTGAGAATGCTTTAGTCACCTGGTATTATGCCACCCTGTGGATTGTACCCCTAGTTTTGTGACTTAGGGCAAGTTATTTAAATATTCAGTCTTGGTTTCCTCATATACATATACATATGTATATGTTATTTGTAACATGAGATTACTAATATGTTTCACCTCAAGTTATTAAAATTAAATAGGCTCATACTATTCAACAAAATAAGACTTGCTCTACCACCTGGAACCTGATAGATGATGAATACATGTTAGCTGATGGAATGATGATGCCAGTGATGATGCTAATAAAGCTATATCCATTCATTCAAAATATTTGCTGAATACTATCCATAAGTCAGTCAATGGTTTATGTACTTGGGGCACATTAATAAAAATAGATTTTAACAATTATACTTTCTTTTTTTATCTGTTGACTTTGTGGAGTGTACGTTAGGGTAAATCAAGCTATTCTTCAACACTTGGTTTGGCCTTAAATTCTATGAAGAGTAGTACTTAGTATTAAGTCCAATACCAATTTAAAAATCAATTATTATGCCAAAGCTGATACTGGGCATAAATCAATAGAGTTTTATATTTTAAAATGGAAAGTAGATTTTCAAATCATCTTTCTATTTAGCAGTAAACTCTGTGACCCAGAATGGAACTAACCATATTTTCCAATTTAACAATAAAGTTTTAGGTCTGACAAAGAGAGTTTACTTTTGAAACAGAGTATTTGAGTTAGGGATTGTCTCAGAAAGTCTCACACATGGTTCCCATAGCTATGAAATCACCCAGGGAAAATGATAAAAACATCGTGTGTACCACTCCTTGGGATCAATGTATTCCCTCAGAAGGCTCTGCAATGTGCCTTTTGCCCTTTGGCCTGTACTGACATGGCTGCTTATGTCATATGAGGCAACCGTGCGATACCTCGCAGAAACATAAAGGTTCAATTCTAGCCATGTTGCTGCAGTTTACTAGCAATTTTTCCCAGGCTTCAAAACGACGTTCTGTAGACTCCAATGATGTAAGAGGGTGTTCCCACTTCAGCTGTGGCCAGCAGATGCTATGCAAACTCTCTGTGTCCACGCGTGCTGATAAAAGCAAGGAAAATATGAATAATGGAAAAGAATGGCAGGCAGCTCTTTTGCTGGCTATGATGATTTTAAACACAAGCGAAACACACACTTTGAGCTTCTCCCTGGCAGAGCATTTTAGTTCCCTTGAAATTTTTCACTCTTGTGAGAATGACTCATGTCTTGGAAACAAGTTCCAAGTCTGGTGCTCTGAGCACCTTCAGGCATTGGTTAATATACCCTGTGGGAGTTTTCAGCATCCCCTTGGCTGTTTCAATTAACAAGGGATCTGTGATCTCTTGCCTTTCACTGAAAATTAAGCATTTTGCTGTTCCCTAGCAGCTGAACTTCCCATTTGTGTTGTAATTATCTTTATCAGGCTCACTGTTACATTCGACAGTCTATGTGTGTCAGAAGTGGAACACACATTTGTGTGTGGGTTTTTTTTTTTTAGCTTCCTCGATAGTCGATACTTTAAATCCCATTGCATTTTGTTTTTTTAAAACACTTTTACAAACACTTGTCAACCACTGTGAAGGGTGGGTGACAAGTACCATCATCTCTATTTAACAAAGCAAAATAATGTCCACAGGCTAGAATCCTGGTCTCCAGACTGCTTTGCATTGCCTGGGCTGTCTTAGTGAGGGTGCACTAAACACCAAATGCCTAGGGTAAACAAACAATAAAAACTTACTTATTTTTTGCCAACATCACAGTCTGTGCAGGTGTTACTGATTGGTGGGTGGCTCCTTCCCTCGTGGCTGTTCAAGGACCAAGCTCCTCCTATCTTAGGCTCTGCAATACCATAGGGCCTTGTTGATAGTACATCCAGGCTTTGGAAGGAAAAGAGAGAATGCAGGAGGAAGCCCACTCTCTCTTTTAAAAGTCCCTCTTACAAGTGGCCCATCTCAGATTTCCAAAGGCTGGAACACCATGGTCACATCAAGCAGTCTGTGCTCAGGAGAGGAAACACAATTTGTGAGCAACCACACAGTTTCCCAAGAAAGTATAATGCATATCCACTCAAGACCACCTCAGTGGGTGACTACAGGGACTAAAATGTGGATAGTACTTCTTTGAGCTGAGCAACATGATGGCCACACAACTAGTAACAACAAAGATAGTACTAGGTGCTATGTGGACATTACTTTTGAACAGGAAAATATAAATAGCATATCCAGCAAACAGCTTTGCAGAGATAATTGCTTAATCTAAGTTTCCATTTAAAATAAATACCTAGCTTTCAAAAACTAGTTGAATTACAGAAAAATATTACATATTAATTGTATGTATGCAAATATGACAAGAACCCGAAAGTTGGTGTTAATGATTAAAGATGGGTACACTGTGTTTATACCAGTTATGTCCCTCACTATAGTTTATTCTTGGAAGAGGAGGAAAATAAACTTTACAGGAAAAAAAACACTTAATATTGTGATTTATAAAAAGAAATATATATTTGATCCTCATCCTGTTTCTGGCACATGGTTCCTAAAACCCTTGGAATTTCCAAGGGTTTGAGAGTGATAGAGTTATCTTTTGTTACATTAAGAAGTGACTTTTGGAAAGCACCTAAGGGTGGGGACTTGTTCCCTGTGGAGTAAACTGCATGACTGAAGGATTGGAACTTTCAGTCCCACCCCCAGAACTCTGGCAAGGAGAGTGGGGCTGGAGCTTAAGTCTTCAGTGGCCAAGATTCAGTCAGTCATGCCTATGTACTTCATGAACACCCAAAAGGATGGGGTTCTGAGAACTTCTTGGCTGGTGAACATGTGGAGATTTGGGGAGACTGTCACACTTGGAGAGAGCATGGAAGGTCCATGCCCTTTTCCTGTTCCTTGGCCTCTGCATCTCTTCAGTCTGGTCGTTCCTGAGTTAAATGCTTTTATAATAAACCTGTTATCTAGTGAGGAAACAAGTTTCCTGAGTTCTGTGAGCCATTCTAGTAGCAAATTTATCAAACTCGAGGAGTCTTGGGAAATTGGTAATTTCTGATACATAGCCAGATGGTCAGAAGGACAGGTCACAAGCTGGGCTCGGAACTGATGTCTGAAATTGGGGGTGGGAGGGGGAGGCAGTCTTGTAGGACTGAACCTTTATTCTGTGGACTCTGATGCTATCGTGTATGTAGATGGTGTCAGAACTGAGCTAAGTTGTGGGATACCCAACTGGTATCCAGAGAGTTATTTGTTGGATATATGGAAAACCCCCTCCCACACACGTTTGGATTGGATCTAGGAACCCAAAAAGAAAAACAAATTGAAAAGGTCCAACAGGCACCACTTCTAGCTCGGCATTGGAGATGCTCTGGGAAATACAGAAAAATGGTCCTTTTAAACCCTAGTTGTTCAAATTGTTATCTAGGAGATACATAAACTGTAGGGAGGAGTACAAAATTGGCTGTTATTAAGAATGGAAATGTTTCAGATCTAATGTGTTACAGCTTTTAAGAGGATGGGAAACAGCTATTGAAATTAAGCCTGATGCTATTTCCTGATGACTTATTCTGTGAACATTTATTGTGTGCCTACTGTGTTGCAGTAAGAGTCTGGATCCCCATGATCTGACCATCTGGTGTTACTGATCGTGGATGGAGGAGAACGGCCATCTGAACAAAGGAATGCAATTCAGAGTTACAGAGGCTTTGATTGATGTGTGTGCGGGATACTTAGGCATAATTTTTAATGTCAACAGAGACTTTGGAAATAATTGAGGCTTAACTCCCTCATTTAACAGATTAAAAGAACTGAGGCCCGCAGAGGTAAAGTGACTCTTAGGGTTACAGAGCTACTTGATGGAAGAGCTAGTGCTAGAATCCAGCTATCCTGATCTCCAACCCTAGCTGGGTGCATGGGAAGGGTGTGAGCTAGGCAATTTGCACTGGAGATGAGATGAAATGACACATGATAAATTAAGCAACATCTGTGGATTTTTTTGCTGGGCAGTATTGGAGGTGAGGGGAAACGGCCTCTAGGAAGAAAGACTGACTGCCTTGCTCACCAGGAAGTTTAGGTCTTACACCTAGCTGAGCCCACCATACATAAAGTGTATCCTTAGTCAAATGACTTAACACACTAAAAATAATGCTTCCTTGTATTTGTTTAACATGTTACCGATTTTGATAGTACCTTGCCCCGTCATCTCAGTTGATTCTGGAAACAGCCCTCTGAGGTGTACCAGAGAGCTTCTTTATCCCTGTTTTATAGGTGAGCAAACTGAGGTGCAGAAGATCACACAGCTAGTTTAGTGAGAGACTGAGTAGAATTCTGAATGCTTCCAGTTCAATACTCTCCCCCAGGGCACTATGTACCTCACGAGTATGGGGCAAGAGTGGTTAACCAAGGGTATCATTTGATTATATTACAGATGCATTGTGAGAGGTTTCTGTGTATCCTGAGAATAATTGGAACCACACTCTTTGGAGTCTCTCTCCTCCTTGGAATCACGGCTGCTTATATTGTTGGCTACCAGTTCATCCAAACAGACAATTACTATTTCTCTTTTGGACTGTATGGTGCCTTTTTAGCATCACACCTCATCATCCAAAGCCTGTTTGCCTTTTTGGAGCACCGAAAAATGAAAAAATCCCTAGAAACCCCCATTAAATTGAATAAGACTGTTGCTCTTTGCATCGCTGCCTATCAAGAGGATCCAGACTACTTACGAAAATGTTTGCAATCTGTGAAAAGGCTAACCTACCCTGGGATTAAAGTGGTTATGGTCATAGATGGGAACTCAGAGGATGACCTTTACATGATGGACATCTTCAGTGAAGTCATGGGAGGGGACAGGTCAGCCACTTACATCTGGAAGAACAACTTCCACGAGAAGGGTCCTGGGGAGACGGATGAGTCACATAAAGAGAGCTCGCAACATGTTACCCAGCTGGTCTTGTCCAACAGAAGTATTTGCATCATGCAAAAATGGGGTGGAAAAAGAGAAGTCATGTACACGGCCTTCAGAGCACTGGGACGAAGTGTGGATTATGTACAGGTAGGTTTCCAAATTACTGCCAGGGCAAACATACATTTAAATAAAGCAGCTTTTGTGTCTCTCCAGTCATATGCTATAGCCCATCCTTGTCCCTACTGAACACAGTACTCCTTTCAGTTCATTTGAAAACAGCATGACTGTTGAAAGCACATTTTGAAAGAGAAAAAAAAAAACTTGTAAAACTGTTAAGACTATCTATGAAAATGCTTAACTTGGGCAGTGCTACTGGTCGGGAATCAAGATTATTTTGAACAAGAGACCCCCTCCCTTCCCTCTTTTCCCCTCCCTTCCCTCCCCCACCTTCCCTTCTCCCCCACTCCCTTCCCTTCTCTGCCCCCTTGGTCCTGCCAAGGCAAATCCCACATCATTTTCCACACTCTTAAAATCCCCAGCCTTGTAAGAAAATAGTGTCTGCTGAGCAGAAGGGTCTTGAGAAAGTCTTCAGGTCCAAAGGAAGGCTATGTTTTCCACAAAGACCAGGCAAAATGGGCATGGTGGGAAAAATGTAAAGGGTAAGAATTCAAAACTGAGACACAGAGAAAGAAAAGGAAAATGAAAAAGGTACAAAAAGGATAAAAAAAAACACTTACCAGAGCAAAACCAAAGTAATGTTTACTTCACTCCCCAAACAGCATTACCTCACTCACTGCAACTTGACCTTTGAAAGCATTTGTGATGGTGTTTGTTTCCTTGAAAATTAGACAGGCTGAGTCTCTCATTAATGCCCTGACTGCGCACTTGAGAGTTTCTGGTCTTCTAGTTCTCACTGAAGCTTTCTTTAGAATGTCAGTAGGGTTCCTGCAACTTTTCTAGTTGTAATTTTTGCAGATACTTTAGATTTTGGCCAGGATGATATCAAGAAGGGAGAAATGTCTCCTCTCTTAAAAATGAAATCTTAGTTTTCAGAAGACCCATTATACTCCTTAGGGGACTCTACTGCTGCAAAGTCATGCCTGGGGGTCTTTCTTTGTAATGAGATGGGAAAGGGTGCTGCTCACTGGCTTCAGGGTCCGTTGACTGAGGTTCTAATCCAGGTGTTACTTACTGGATGTCCTTGAGTGGGACCACCTCCCCGAGCCTCAGTTTTCTAGATAGAATAAATTCATCCTCAAAGGGGTTTGAAATAATTACTTCAAAACTGTATCCAAGATACAAAGTTTAAAAGGTAGCAAAAGTTGTTACTGATGGCATTGTCAGTTAATTTGTTGTTAATATTATTGTTACTTATATGATCACCTAGTCCTTGAAATTAATAGTACATGTCAATGGCCACCAGAGAGTGAGTTTTGGGTTAATATCTGAAGAGTTTTGAGGCATTTCTTTAGTTGATACCAATTTGCATATTAATCTCCTAATGATTTGATAGAGTTTCACCCTCAAGTTTCTCTTAATTTCTAGAACTTTAACAATTAAGACAGATTAACAGAGTTAATCCAGGACATTTTTACATATTTATATAGCAACATCAGTCCCAGATGAAAGGATGAAATGACCCTTTTAAAGAAAGGGATGACTGGGGAACTTAGAGGATTTGAAAAATGAAGCTCTGAGCCCCAAATGAGAAAATATCTGTTTTGATATTTTGCCTTTCTAGCTAAAACAATTGCTGTGTTTGTCATTTTTAATCAAGATGTCATTGTGTGGGTTTTCTTCTTTTTAAATCTGCTCCTCCCAAACCCCCTTCTCCCATCATTCTTGTTTTGAATTTTGTTTGTATCCCTGACAACTTGACATTGTGCCTGTCCAAGAAAAAATAATACAAAATGTGAAATGTTAGAGTTAGGCTTCCTGCTAAAGCCCTAATCAGGCTTAAAAATGTTCCTTCCCTCAGGCTGAAGTGCTCAGATAGACTGGCCCAAGCAGTAGCCATTAACTGGGCCCTGAATCTTCCTGAGAGTCTCCATCCATTTCAAATGCTCAAATACGGGTAAAAACCTTTGGCATTCTGAAACCAGGTAATTCATCCTGCCATCCCTCATTAAATCCTCTGATACCCTGTGTACCCTGTAAAAAAAATGGAAATGTCCTAAGGTTCAAACTAATATACTCCCATCTTCCATTCCGACCCAAGGTCAGAGAGTTGAAGGGAAGAAGGCACAGAAAAACAAAGGAGAGGCGGGTGTCAAGGAATTTGGCTGCTGCTACAAGCAATTGAACAGGGAGTGCAGGTTGGTTAGGGAAGGAAGGAAGGAAAGTTCAGGTGCTAATACACAGGAGAAAATAGGGGCTGGAGGAGGAAATTGACCATCTGCTCAAACTTGCTAACTTGGCTGGAGATGCTATTTAACTGCAGAGAGATGGCCAAAATGACTGGTTTCCAGTTGCAGCTGGGTCTTTGGCACTGGTCAGCACTCTTCACTTGATCTTGAATAGATGTCTTGCTTCTTGCTATTTCATGCCTCTACCATGTTCATTGACTACCAAACTCATCCCTGCTTGACTGCTAACAGATGACCTTATCTCCTATGAAAGAGAAAATCAGAACTACAGGGGCTGAGTGCTGCCAAAGTCTTCCTCTCTCCTGCTTCCAGTTTCAAGGGTGCTTGGCCTCGCTCTCTTTCTGAAGGTTAGAGTCTCTGGTCAGGTTACACCCCTGGGCGCTCTGCCTCGCTCCCCCTGGTCACCTCCAGAATGAGGCTTTATCAAGTCCTGCCTCTCCCTCCCTCCCTCTCAGCTTCCCTGTCTAGTCTTATTTACTGACTATGGTCTCAGCCTTAAAGCCAATGGAATAATGAAAGCTGGCACAGGTATGGAGAGAAGAAAGCTTTAGTCTAGCAGAAATCCAGTGTGCTAACATTCATCTTTGATGCTCATGGCTGCTTGCAGAGATAGAGAAGATAGGAAAACAGAAGAAAAATAATAAAGTGACAAAAGAAGATGATGGTGATGAGAAATAGAATGAGGAAAACTTTTACCTAGAATCAAAAGTATTTTCTGGAGAAAACTCTTTTTTCAGAGAAGGACAGATTCAGACCTGAATAGCGCTTAAAGTAGGGCAAAGGTATTTCATAACAATTAAAAATAGCATTTATATTAGCTTTTTTATATACCAAAGTAACACATTTTTATGGTAGTATGTTTTTAAAAATACAGAACAGCACAATGAGCAAAATTAAAATCATTTGCAGCAAATATGTGACCCATAGATGATCAAATTTAGTGTTTTCCAGCATATACTTTTGTATTTTCCTCTTACTTTTAAAATAATTTGGGGATTATTTGTTTTACTTTTTTTTTAACTTAACAATACTAGAAGACTTTTAAGTATCCTTTGCCATCTAGATTATATAATTGCTTTATTCATATATCCTATCACCCAAAGTGGATGTTAACAACCTAACTGACCACTAGTCAATACGACAAAGGAAAAAACAGTATCCCCTGATGTGTGCATTAAGGATTTCCCAGGTAGGAAATACACAATGACTATGAACATTTTCTAAAATGATGATTATAGGAGGCAATTTTATGGTTTAAATCTGGCAGCATCCTAGGTACCTAACATTCTTTTGAGCAGGAGAAAAGTAAGACTCAATCATTCACAGTTGTAGAGTTGACACTCATTATTCATGGGTTCTGTATTTATAAATCATCTTCCTCAACTAAAATGTGTTTGTAACCCCCAAATCGATACCTGCAGACTTCTGTGATGAGTTACAGACTTGCAGAATGGCAAAAACAAATTTGATGTTTAGGTTCCCATCTGGGGTCAAGTGAGACTGCTCTGCCTTTTTCTTACAACTTTTATACTGGAAACAAGTAACTTCTCCGTAGTCCATTTAGTAAGATGTTTTTCATATTTTTGTGCTATAATGTGTATTTAAGAAGAAACACACAAATAAAACAAGGTTAGGTATTGATCAGTAGACAAAAATATGACCAGAGGCCCAGAGGAACCTAACACTGTATTTCTGCGAGAAGCCAGTGTTTTGGTATTTGCTAATTTGGTGTTCACAGAAATTTTGTAGAACATAACTACCATGAATAATGAGAAGCTACTGTATCCAACATTTGGTTGGTTCCTGTTCTGTATAGAAACCTAAGCAAATGAAATATTCTATGAGTTGATGTTGAGAATGTTATGTGTCTCTTTAAAAAAACATTTCTGAATGCTTTTTTCTTTATTAATTGAAATATAGCTAATAGACAATATTATATTAGTTTCAGATGTACAACATAGTGATTTGACAATTACATACATTAAATGCTCACCATGATGAGCATAGTTACTATCTGTTAACATACAGAGATATTACAGTAGTACTGAATATATTTCTGTGGTTATATGTCCCTTTGTATTCTTCATTTTAGAGGATAAGATTAAGAGCACATGGAACAGGAATGGGAAAATCAGAATTCTACTGTTGACTGGTGATGGGTCCCAGTTAGCTGGTAGAACGGATGATCTCTGAGATCACTCTCAGCTCAGGACTCTAACTGAGTACAGTTTTAATTTCTCTGGCATTTTCATTTATTTCTAGCAACATACCCAGGCTTTTATGTAAGAGTGTGATCAAAGCGAAGAAGGGTGGACGGGTGGATATCAGAATTCCTTTTCATCAGTTACCATCACACTGCTCACTTTCATTGTTAATCTGCCCTTTCTCTCAAAGTTGGGTTCTTGAATGTAAACACTGATGTAAGTGCCACCATTATGGGATTTCCTGATTCCCTTCTTTAGAAAGAGGATTCCAACCGTTTGGGATAAGGGTATTTCTCCGCTTAAGCCTTAGAGGTGACAGCATTTGGTTTCCCACTTTTCCAGATGGTTTGTCACTTTGCTTTGCACCTTCTATAACTTTGAACACATGTTTAAACTTTCTAAAAAGGAAAAGAGAATAATCAAATGATTCCTTTTAACCTTAATGCTTTGAAAAGATTCTAGGCTGATCAAAATCAAGAATTTCATAACAATTTAGGTAATGCCATTCTACCAAAGGAGACCCACAACTTCCAAATTCCTTTTTAAAAGAACAAGAAAAGAGGGCCAGATAGCTTAG